TAATTGACTCTAGTATAAGACTTTTGACATTTCAAATATTTTTCATTGAGAATCTATGTTTAGACTACTTTTTAATTACACTATCTTTGACTTTCAACAAATTTAATTATTTTTTGTTATGCTTTTTAATTATTTGCTCTCCTTTTAAAAACTAACAAATAAATAAAATAATACAAGAAAATTAAAAAAACCAAATTCCTAATTAGCCACGGAATTTGCAACGGATTTCTGTGGCTAATTAGCCAAGGAATTACTCACGAAAAATTCCGTAGCTAATTAGCCACAGAATTTTCCGTGGGTAACTCTGTGGTAAATTACTGACGGAACTTTTTCGTCTATAATTTCTGGCAGAAAGTTTCTGTCAAAAATCCATCACAAGTTTCCGACGGATATTCCGCCACAAATTAGAGACAAAGTCAAAATTCCGTCACTAAAATATTTAGTGATGGTTTAACTAGCGACGAAAGTTATTCCGTCAGAAATTCCGTCGATAATTCTAGACTCCGTCGATAAATCCGTCAGTAATTCAGTGTTTTTTGGTACTGACAATAAATCATTCAAACTAGTTTGAAGTTAGACCATATGAACATGATATAAATGAACAAAATATGAATAATATATCATCTCTTTAATTTGCACACAAATGGCATAATAAAATATCAAAATCATAATATGACCATCTTTTAGGCTATTCTATTAATATGAAAGTAAATTATATTCATATTTCATATTCTTAAAAATGCAAATAAATTTGCACAATAAATTAATATTTCAAAATGATCAATAATTAATTTTTGGTATATTTTGTTTCATATCACTCTTGAAATATTTATCAATATTTCAATATCAAATACTTATAATAATATGTTTCTACCCATCAATCACCAAAAAATTTAAAGTAATATCATATAACATGTTGGAAATAGCATTTTGGACTTATGATTATGTTTTTCAACTTTAACTACTTCGAACATATTTCTTTACAAAACATTGTTTTAGATATCATAACTATATTTAATACTTTTCATAATATCTCCTGATCTTTTAGTTTCATAACCAATTTTAACATTTACTTTTAATGAATTGGTAGATATATTTGTCCATATGACTTATGGTCATATTATGATATTTGCTCATAATTTTTTTTTAACTATAGATGACTATAGAGGTATCAATATCTTCTCAATTACGGTTCAATAGCCAAGACCATAATCTATTACCCTTCAATTATTAATTCTACCAATATAATGTGGTCATGCTCTTTGTCACTTTTATAGACATATTCCTTACTTTCAATAACACATAATCAACTTCTCCAAATATTAGTCTTTAGGACTATAGGAAAAAATCTTTCAAATAAAGCTCTTTCATGCCATTTGTGATGTTTGAACCTTTAGCCTTCATGACCTTGATATTTGTCACCATGTAGCTTCTTAGGGTTTTGATATTTGTCACTATTAGATTATCAAAGTGCCAGAGATATCTCTTGTCATTCCATTTAAAGGCATCTATAGTGTTCTTTTATAGAAGAACCATTACAAAAGTGACGTGATTTCTAGTCATCTAATCACATGACTAAAAGTATTATGACTTCTAGCCACTTAATAAAATGAAATTAAAATAATATTATAATGAAATGAAATAAATTCAAATTCATAATCAACTATAAATAACAAATAAATTCAAATATAAATAACATTATATAATCATATATATAATATTATGATAGATATAAAACAACATAATATGAATCAGGTAGAGATATATGTAAACAAACAATAGAATAAGAAGTATTGAAAAATAAATAAAATAAATAATACAATATCACAATGGGAAAATAGCAAAATTAAAATATATAAAAAGAATAAATTAATAAATAACATAATATATATAGTAAATATATAGAAAATTAAAATTGTACATGGTAATAGGATAAAAAGAATAATTGAGTAAGAGGAAGTTAATAGAGAGAATTATTACATAGTATAAGAATATATCAATTTACAAAGCTTATACCTTAAATCTTCATAACAAACTTGTAGTTGTAAAATAAAAGAAATACAAGGGATTGAGATGAGAGAGATGGACAAGATATATAAGAGAGAATTGGAGGAGAAATAGGAAGTAATCTTTTATTTATTTCAAACTTACAATCATTTGGTATATACCTAGTATTTATAGGTTACAAATCTTTAAATTCTTTTCAAGAGTTATAATAAGGAATAAATCTACATATTGTAGGATATATAATATTTGGAGGTTATGAGTATTAATCATAGGAAACTCTCAAAATTCATATTGTAAGTTATAAGCTTTAAGTGTGAAATCCCAAAAAAAAACAGCTCTTAAAGAGTTCTGAATATCCACACTTAATATTACAATATTTATAACAAAAAGTTTTACATTTAATGACTTGACTCCACCGCAACCGATTTTCTTGGAACTTTTTGAAGCAGCTTCATCAACATTCAATTTGAAATTAAATCAACCTTCAGGAGTAAGTCGCCGATATTTAATACAGTCCGTATCCTGTATCCCCATATAACGCCTCGCTGGTTCAGCAATAGAAACAAAAATACATCCAAATTACAACTATATTTAAGTAAAGCAGCTGGTAGGGATAGTAACACGGGCTAACTCACGGGCCAACCATCAACTACTATTTTTTTTTAACTTTTTAAATATTTTTTGATGCAATATAACCAAAATATAACAAAATTTTTAATTTTTTTCAAATATTTGATGAAAAACACCAAATTAATAATATATTTAATTTTTAAAATTTTTAGATAAGATATAAAATATAATAATATAATTATAATAATTAATAAAATTTTAAAAAATGCAGATTAGCTAGCAGGTTGTTTTTTGGCCAATTCTAATTTGCTATTCTCAGTGGTATTACCAGCCCTAACAGTGGGGTCAGGAGGTTTTACAAATTTGTGATTAAAATAAAAGCTGTTGCATTCTCCGGGAGCCAAAGCTTCTAAACCATGACTCCCCACAAATATGCTTTAATTTATTAAGGTATTTTAATATTCCCGTCAAATGCATTTTATATTATTTGTATGTTCATGTTATTCCACACCAAACACAAGAAGTTGATATTACCCAATCCAATTGTGTAATGTGATGTAAGAAGAGATAGGGATGAAGATTGGACTTCACATTACCGCATGCCAAACATGAAAATGTTGGCACTACTTAAGCCCAATCACAATCTCACTTCTTCAGTTACACTTGCCAAACAAGACCTAAGATTCTTGCATCAAAGGAGGCAAGCATCCCATGGGGAACTCCTATCCTACTGTTCAAATTATAAGGTATACTTTATTTGTTTATGTTTATTAAGAAATTAGTTAAAATCAATTTAAAATAATAAATATATAAGCAATTTATTTTTTCTCAGATATACTGTTATTAATAAAGAGAATAAATAGAAAATGTTATAAATGAATCAAAAAGTAAAGAGAATATATGGAGTAAAATTGGAAAAAATACATTTTATTTTCATTTAAAATTAAACAACTTTCTAACTTTATCCCTATTTAGTATATATTATACCTCATGTAAATAAAATCAACAATAAAAGGTAAACTATATATCTATACAAAAAATTTCACTTAATACCTTATAAATAGAACTAAAAAATATATTCTATCTTATAAATAGAACCAGAAAAGTATATAGGAAAGGACCTTGTGAGCTTGGTTCAGGTCCATAATTTTTTTAATCCTAAATTTTTTCTTTTAAGTCTGATTCTAATTTATCGAGCTGACGCCATCCAGTCAAAAGCTCGAGTCATTAATTTTGGAAGGGGGTGAAAAACTTATTATCATGGAACATATATAATTTTTAAAAGACCATATTAAACTTTAAATTTAATAATATAAATAAAAGTCTTAAAGGATAAATATAAAATATATTAAGTTTTAAATTTTAGATTCAAAATTAATTTTCTTATCTCTGTAAATTAGTCAATTAATTTTTGTATTTAAAAATTGGGGAGAATAATAATAATGTGGAATCAAAGAATGGAAAGTAAGGTAGATTTGACAAAAATTCTGACAAAAAAAATGGAAGAATTACAATGAGGTCTCCAAAAAAATAATTATAAAAAAATCTCAAAGGTTGTTATTTTCTACTTTAAAGTTTATTATTACATGCAGAGGTTGTTAATAGAAATTTTTGGTAATTATTTTTCTTGCTCAGGAATATGTAACAAAAATTAAAAAGCGCAAACTTTGTTACAGATTCATTTAGCACGGTCATCATGAAATAATTAAGAAACAAGTTGATTAAAAAAAAAAAAAAAAAAGAGATCAGCCTCGAGATTTATGATTTGCTTTAATTAACATTTGGATACGTGTCCTTTTTTGTGAATTGAAGAAAAGAGCACAGTGGGTGATTAAAGTGGGTGTAGAGCAGGGGCAAAAAACAAGTTCCACCTGCTTTGTAATTTATAAGTCATTCTAAACAGACACAGACCAAATGAGAAAAGCATTAAGCAGAAGGTAACGGACAGGCCAGAATAAAGCATGATGATGAGATTGGAAGAATATGATTTATTTTGAATTAAATGATCCCTTGCATGATAGTGACTATAACACGACAATTATTTGGACAGTGAACCTCAGTCTACCAACTTTTAACAGGAGAAGCAACAAGGAAAAGCAGTGAACTAAATGCAATGGAATAGGCACAGAGTAACAATACAGATTAATTCTGAGATGTTACAGTAAGCATATTCTCTCCGAGAAGAACGAACCTTCATAATTAAAGGATAAAGAATTGAAAGCCCCTGCTTACACCATTGCCTGTATGTTCATCTAAATGTGAAATAATGGACGATTGTGGACATATCCCATTTCAATATCAAAACACAATCTCGTGACACTGGGAAAGTCCGATAAAAACAATTCCATCCACGACAGTAATTGAACTTGGTGGTATGAACAATGGACATCAATGTAAAATGTTGACCAGGGAAGGAACAAGGCTAAGGAATAAATTGAATGCAATGATATACACACAAAAAAAAATAATGCATACAAATAGCATGGGTTCTGAGAAATCACAGTCTGCCTGGAAATTATCAGGAGAAGAAGGGAAGATGTAACCTTCAGTATGTAAAATGCCCCCTCCATTCTATATTTGCAACAATGATTCATAAAGAAAGTCATGTTGCACAAGATTACATGAAACTTCATTCCCAAATTAGAGCTGATAAATTTGCAACACATTGGACATCTCCACAAGGAACCCAACAGAAACTGCATGCTTCAAGACACTGATTTGTCTGCTAGATGACAGCCCACCGGCCAAGTCTCACTGAAATTTGGAAGCAGATATTTTTCAGCTCCAAAGTTAGACACAAAATGCAGTACAAAGATAATATTGCCTACACAAACTTTAAGATGAAAATGACGATGATATAATCTCACTTTGTTATAACACCCACTCCCATTTTCTTGATCTCGAGCATGTTAAAAATTGTAAATCCTTTGCATTTGCCAGTAAGTCATCCCAAACCACCACATTAACATCAGACAGGACTCAGGAGTATGATAATGATGGGGGGGGGGGGGGGAATAATGTGACATGAAAAACCCTCCACCTTAAGAATAGGCTCAAGATCTCTTATGTAGTGTTACACTCTGTCCGTATAAAACTCCCGTTGACAAGTTAAAACCCAAATAGGAATAAAACCCCCCAACATCCTAGCAATGTGGCATGAACAATGCAGTTAGATAGAGAACAAACCTCTATAATCCAAATGATACCATGAATAACCATTTCCTTCAGATAAATATGTATCTTCTTCAAAATGAGTGCTTGAAACATGAGCAATCTTGGGCCAATCCTCCCCTGTTTCATCCTTACATCTCTTCACTAGGTCTGGACAACCGTAAATTCCCAACTCTTTCAAACTACTAAGGGACTGAATGCTCATTGGAAGTGACATCAGCCTGGGGCAATTAGATATAACCAATGACTTCAGCGTCCTTAGGTTTCCCAGCCAGTCAGGAAGCAATGCTAGATTGGGAAGATCATATAACTTTAATGATTGAAGGGCCACAATATGTTGTAAAGCCTCAGGAAGATCTTTCACCTCGGGGCAGCCTGCAATTGTAAGATCTTCGAGGGCAGCAAGGTATTGAAAGCCTGCCGATAATTTGAACTTAGTATACCCACAAATTCTCAATCTTTTGAGAGAATACAACCCTTGAAATGCTTGCTCTGCCAATGTCTTGAGATTTTTGCAACCAGCAATATGTAATTCTTCAAGAGCATTTAAGTTGCCGAGCTCAGTTGGGAGCACTTCAAGTTTGTCAAGAGAATGAATGTGGAGTTCCTTGAGACACACAAGGCCTCCTAGCATCCCATTTGGAAAGGAAATCAGATCTTTATCTTTAATGAACCAAAGGCATTCAAGATTGCGCAGGTTTTGAATTGAACCCAGTAACACTCCATTGGATTCCTTCAGCAGTTTTAGTTCGGTGACAGATGGAAGGCAAGGCAAGATCAATTTTGGACATTGAGAAGTTTGCAATGTCGAGAGACATGGGAACATGTTGTCTCCATCTACCCTTGACAACTTCACGAGGTTTGGTAGCTTTTCCAACAATAGAAATTTCAGAGTGGTGAAACCTCTCACTACCCCATTATTGTAAGATTCATTATCCACATATTGCAAGAGATTCAGGTTTGATAAACTCAGGTTTGTCAAAGATGGAAGCTTTTCCAGAGGTGAAATGTCGAAACAATTTTTACAATCCACGAGTTCTAAATTACTTAAATACTTCAGGGCAGGATTACCCATCCACTGTGGAAATTGAGTACCAAAATATCCTCCTATTGACAAAATTTTAAGTTGTGAATGAGGTTGAAGATCTTCAAGAATAAGCTCATCATTTTCCTGTAACGGGGACTCCTCATTTCTTTCCCATGACAACACCAACTCAGTTAAGTGCTTATCCGCCAAATTGGCTTCTTTGGCGTCCATCACACTTCTCAATCTCTCCAAGTGCCTAATGTGGAGTGTTCCTTTAAGCTTCAAGTTTCTTAATTCTGCCAATAGGAACCCATTTTGTGTACCAACAATGTATGTATTCAAGGTCTTTAAGCAAGTTAGCTGACCCATGTTAGGGGCCAATCTAGATAATGATCGACACCAATCCAAATATAGATGACGGAGTGACTTCAAGCACTCCATTTGGTTTGGCAACTTTTCAAGATATTGACAATAGTTCAGATTCAAGATCTGCAAATTGTGCAGTCTACAAATCGAATTAGGAAGTGTTTTAAATGAACCACAAGAAAGGTTTAAGTACCTCAAATGTTTTAATTGGCCAATAGCAGATGATACCTCTTTGAAAGACAACATATCCAGCGCTCGCAAGGAATGACATCTCATCAATAGATTATTATCCTCATCACATTTTTGCATTATATTTATACAGGTCTTCAAGGATTTGATTTGTCCTAAATAAGACAACCATTGTCCGTGAGATGGCTTCAAATGATAAAATGAGATATGACGAGTTCTCTCAGATAGAATAGGAGAGTCATCCTTAGATGTAATGCAACGACACACATCCTCTACAGCAGATTGGGCTAGATCATGAACAAGATCATGCATGTAGAACAATGTATCATAGCCAAAACCATTCACCTCAATATCATTGAAAAATGACCTTAAATATAATTCATTCCACACTCTATCGCCATCATCTTCAGCTTCCACGCTTTCATTGGATGAAATGAAGCCATTGGCCATCCAAAGCTCAATTACTAGTTTCTTACTCATCCTTTGATCTTTGGGGAACAATGCACAGAAGGCAAAACACCGCCTTAATTTTGTGGGTAAATTCAAATAACTCAATCTTAAAGCAGGCAAGACTGATTCTTCTTCTTGTGGTAAATTCCAAATCTCACTTTCCTTAATACGAAGCCACTCTTTTTCATCACTGTGGAAACGCAAAAGACTTCCTAGAGTTTTAGCCGCAAGAGGCACTCCTTTACACTTTTTTACTATTTCCTTCCCTATAGCCACAAGCTCTCTGCGTTCCTCCTGCTCTGATCCAAAAGCTCGTTGTCTGAACAACTCCCAACAATCATCTTCTGACAACAGGGACAATTGATGAGAAGGCACTGTTCCTGTGATGCATGCAACTTTTGAAAGGCGAGTAGTGACCAGAATTGAAGCCCCCTTTGATCCACAAGCCAAAACATATTTCAACTTATCCCATTTCTCCTGATTATCATTCCACACGTCGTCCAGCACAAGCAAATATTTCTTCCTTCCAATCACCTCTTGAAGTCGTCTTTGTAGGGGTTCTAGATCTAAATCTCTGCAAGCATGCCCAGCTGACTCTATTATAGCTTTTGACAGCCTTTTCAGATTGAAATCTTCAGAAACACATACCCAAATCCTCAGCTCAAAATGATTAACTACCCTCTCATCATTGAAGACATGTTGAGCAAGGGTAGTTTTTCCGAGACCACCAATACCAATAAGTGGATAGACTGATACGTCCTCCAAATTAGAAGCATCACCAACCAAAAAGTCCACAATTTTCTCTTTCTCTGCTTCCCTCCCATAGAATTGGGGTTGAGTAATGATTGAGGTAGTTTGCCGCCATTCCATGACTTCATTCCGCCTCTCACGAACCGTCGCACACAAATGGAACTTCAACCTTTCCTCAGCAATTTCATCTATCCTTTCACTTATGTCTTTCAGTTTCTCAGCAATTTTGTAACGGAACAAAAATTTACTGGGATGCAAATAGTTAAAGCAAGAGCCTTGTACCGTGAGTGACGACCCACACTTGAGTTCTGGGTATTCTAATGAAAGGGCGTGTGTTGAACACTCATCCAAGATGTCATCCAGCAAGTGAGCTGCATCTTGAAGCTTGTGGAGCCAATTGTTGAGGGCTTTGTTGGTGAGCTGCTTCTCCTCAGCATCTTCAAGCACGGCCTTGATCGTAGAGAGAACGCTGGAAAGCCTTCTCATCTCTCGATCTACACCCAGAAACAAACCGATCTCCTTCTGAATGAGAGATCTCAAAGTCGCGAGGGCGACTTCAATCATAGCCTCCGTCATCGTCTAAAGACAAAATGAAAATGTTGTGAAGTGTGTTTATTTTTCTCAGTGAGAAGTTGCGGGTGCAGAGGAAAGTTTGCGATTGCAGGAATCAAGGAGGAAGATGACTAGATATAGGGGCGTGCATAAAGTCCAGAAGCCCGCCCCACTCGAACCCGAGAAAAAATTGTCCAGCCCAACCCGCGAAAAAATGGAATCTTTGGACTGGACATTTCATGAGCAGGGTTGAGTATCAGATAGGATATGCTGTCCTGCCCATTTAGTTCTGTCCAGATTATATATATATTATAATTTATGAAATAATATTAATCATGAGCAGGGTTGAGTATCAGACAGGATATGCTGTCCTGCCCATTTAGTTCTGTCCAGATTATATATATATATTATAATTTATGAAATAATATTAATATATTACATTTTTTAGCTAAAAAAAAGTTATCTCCCTCCTCTTTGCAATTTAATTTATTATTGTCACATGTTTGTTAGTTTTCCATTTTAGGGTATCTAATTCTTCTAAAAAAGCTGTAGTATCTTGCTTTTAATTTGTTCTTCATGAGTTTTATTGGGTATATCCTATTATGTGTTGCTATTTTAATGTTGGCTATTTATAAGTCAGTCTTCCCTTTTATGCTATTAACAACTTTTTTTTGTTAAAGAATGGAGTTCATACATTACATATTTGTATAAATCAACAATTTTAAATATTTATACAAGATAAAAAACAAGATTGGGATAGGAGTAGGGAAAGAAAATTGTGGTTTAATTATCTGAATTGCATGCTTTATTTTTTTATTTAATTTATATTTAGTTATTTTGTATTAATTTGTTATGAAAAGTCATATGATGGAAAGAAATATTTTAGTTGTATGAACTGCTAACTGCATTGTATTGCATAATAAGTGTTTACATATTAAAAGGGGTTATATTAAATTATTATAAGATTTTAAGATTTTTTATTTTTCTTTTTACAATTATTTTCACCATATTTTTATATGGTATATATTATTCCTGTTCACCCATTGCTTCAATTTTAATATCCTTTTGTAATCTTTTAGGTAACATTTAATTTTTGCCACTTAAATGGATAATCAAACTTCTATTACATCGCCATCTCTGACCCCTAATAGAATGTCTCAATGTGCTTTAAACCCTCTTCAATTTTTTCAAATATTTTATTCTTTTCTCAACTTTCTGAAGATTAATGCAAACCATTTGAATTTCAAGGCTTTAATTGCAATCTTAAGAGGTGTTTTGTTCTAAATGGATTATGAATATTATTTATTTGGATATTTGCTAAGATTTCTTTTAAATCATTTCTAGATAATTTTAATGTGTGAAAATGTAAAATTATGAAACGTAATTTTCAAATATGGATAAAAGTTTTTTTACATGCGATATCGATAGATCCTCACCATTTAAGCAGCGAAGCCCGCTCTGCCAAGCGCGCCCATACCCAGCCCAAAATAGTTAGGGCTTCTATGGGTAGAATCGGGCAGCGGGCTGCAAAATGCAACCCGCTCATACTTTGGATTAGGCATCGGGCAGGGGTCATGCCCTGCCCAGTCCTACCTATGTGTACTCCTAACTAGATGAGCAGTGACAATTCAAGTCAACGAGGCCAAGCACAAAATTTATTAAAATATTGAAAAATAAAATTAATATTATTTGCTTAATTATATTGCATCAATTGATTCATAATTGTTGTCACTAAAAAAAGCATTCATAATTATAATTAAAAATCAAGATTTTAATGCTACAGCCATAATTGTAGCCCTTCCTCTTTAACTTTATTTTTCACCAATGCCTATCTTACTACGATCAGGGTATCATTTTATTATTAATATGGATAATTATCTAATTATCTGATTAATTTTTTTACTAAATTACACCAAATTCCCTCCAACTTTAAATCATGCACACATAACCCATTTAATTTTTAATAATAAACCTCTCTCAACTTTCAAACGTTGCAGATATCTCACAAGCATCAATTATATAACCTTTTAAATTTTATTCTTACGTGCACAACCTCAAAATTTAGGTTATATAAAAATAATCTCTCAGGTAAAATTCAATAATGTATAAATTTACTTTTTTATTTAAAAAAATATCATATACATTCTTGCTGGTTATGTTAATAATAGTATCTCTTGGTTTCATATAAAAATAATAATATCTCTGTTATTTAAAAAAAATGGTGAAACTCAAAATGCAGATTACATTTCCTCTGGTTCTGTCTAAAATCTGAAGATCATAAGGCTTTTAGTTGTTGTTTATTGTTACTTAATCTTTTTGTTTTCAAATTAGTTCAGACTTTGGAGGTTACTCTTAGAATTAGAACTGGAAGTTACTTGTAACTTACAGATTTTCCAACTGTTTTCTTTTTTAAAAACTAGTTTACAGAACCAAAAGTGAACGTAAAGCATTCCCGTGGCAAATTGAACAAGAAACTGTCCTCTTACAGTGCCCCCACATAAAATGACTAAATTCATAAGATAGAATCACGAGGAAAAAGAAAAACATAATTACTAGTTAGTCACAATAATAAGTAAGTAGTTGTTATTTTCTACTTTAAAATTTGTTATTATAGACTGTTTCGTTGCTATTGAAACATTTCAGTAATTATATTCCTTGCTAGGAATTTTATTACAATTCTTCAAATTCATAATACTTCATTCTTTCAGGCAGTTTTGGTATAGATAGTGAGTGCAGGAAGAAGTATTAGAAATTTCATGAGATGGTGTCCTCTATTACACATTTACACTTTCAAATTCATTTTCATCTACTTTCTGTTGTACTCCTCCTTAATGGGGGAAATAAAATGAATTGAAATTTCTCTGTCACACGTGAGACTCAATTTCAAAGAACTTGAGTTGGACATTTAATAGAGAAGAAATGAGGTTCAGATAAACCAGATCTTGTAAGTTGGCAGAAAATGAAAAGGTACTCATAACTTGTTTCCATAACATGTAAAATGCTTGAGGAAGTCACGTGGCAAAAACTGATATATAACTTATTAGTAAATTAGCAGAGAATTCATATAATGTTAGTAGAGAAATACTGAATAATATGTATAAATCCAAGGTTCAGGGTTCAATTGAATGTGCTGGTATAAATTCAGAACCATAGGTCCCGTTTGGTACAAAGTACTGAAAATGAGGGATATGGATTGGGATTGTAATTGAAAAAAATTATTAAAATAGTATTTAATATGAATAATTGCTTATTATATGAAATTAGGCAAACTCATAGAAGTGGGATTGAGAAATACCACTTCTCTCCATAGTATTCTCCAAGCCCACATACACAGGTTTGACTAATCCCATATGACAAGTGCTCTCTTAAGCTAAATACTCTTTTAATAGATTTTTTAGATCTCAATCTCAATCTTAATCTCTAATTTTTAATGCTTCTTACCAAGCGCAAGATAAGGATTCAATAAAAAAAATAAAAGAACTAATTAAACGGATCCAATTCAAAATTTAATAAAGCTATAAGCACTATTAGATTAGTTTTCCCATATACATACACACAAAAACATATATAGTTTTTTTTTTTTTTGGCTATCATCAAAATCCGAGTTAAAACTATTGGGCCAATTTTAGCTTTTCTTTTAGGGTTAAGAGCACTCTCAACTATGTTTTCAAGTGCGCCCAATGTTGTGAAGTTATTTGTAGTGCAATTTCACCCTTAAAATTATTAAATTGGTGCAATCTCATCCGAAACTAACTCTCACTCAATTTTGACTGTTAACTTACTGAATCACCAAGAATTTGACCAAGTTAATCTCAGGTGGCATATAATAAGCACATGACATGGAAAAATTTCCAAGTTGAAAAAAAAAATTAAAAACAAATCTGTGGCAGAAACATCTAGGGATAAAGAACTCATGGACATCGCAGTGAATTCTTCAGTCCTTCGTCAATCTTTGAAAATGAACAGGTTTAAGCTATAGGAGGCTGAAGCAAGCGACTTGGTGGAGGAAGAGAAGGCATGAAGCAACTAGCTAATTCTAAAATGGGTCCAAACCAGTCATCTTCATAAGGAGAGCTGCATGGATTATCATGCTAATAGTGATAATAATGACAATCTTTTCATGGATGGATTCGAAGCGGTTAGTGAGTTTCAAGAACACGCACAATCAAAGACGAAGGATCAGGAAAAAAAATGAAAGATTTGTCAGATCTAGCCCTTTAGCCCCAAGCTTTCTTGTCTTTTCTGCTCTCTCCTTATCTAGATCCAAAACAAGGCATATGAAAGTGAAATTTCCGATCAGTGGATTCTCTGAGTCAGGCGATGTTCTGTGCATTGCCAGAGGCACACGTGCCACTTCGATCCAGTTGAGTCTGACCTTCCATTGATTGTTTCAGATCCTAGGTTCGCGTCTGGGATTTAGATCTGTTGATCTGGTGACCTTCCTCCTCATACAATATTGTGATCTTGTCTCCCCTTAATCGGACCTGTTCGTCATCTCCAATGGACTCAGATCTGATCCTTATCCTTGTTGCATTAGATTTGCTTAGGGAAGTATGGATATCTCCTTGTCCCTCTTCCTTTTCTTTTGTTTTTTCTTTCCTGCCTCTTCTTTTCCAATCATGCTGCTCAATAGAAATTTTTTTATCAACTTCAAAAAATTGCGAGGTCACGTGCTTGTTATATGCCACCTAAGATTAATTTGGTCAAATTCCTAGTGGTTCACCAAGTTAACAGTAAAAATTAACTAAGCGTTAGTTTTGGATGAGGTTGTATCAATTTAATAACTTTAAGAATGAAATTACACCACAAATAACTTCAGAACACTAAGTGTACCAGAGAAAATAATTAGGAGTGTTGGGTGCATCTCAACCCTTTCTTTTATTATTCAAAAATCATTCGGTTGAATTGTTCAATTCAATATATTAAAACCCAGACGAGTTAGCTTGGAAGTCAGTTAAATACTTAAATATGGGTTGGATTAGCTTGATGTGAGCTAGACTTAAACCGGTTGACCCGAACAGGTTAGTGGGTCAGTCCAATTTAAGTTTTTAAGGCAACGTCATTTTATTTTATTTTTCAAAA